AACAAAAACCTCCATTAGCTTTCAAGATTGAAATTATTTTACTTATTATTTTAATAATTTGAGTGCGAGCCGCTAACTCAACTGTGGTGGAAGTGACAGTTAAGGGCATTAAGTTGATCCTGTTCCCACCCGGTACCCACACATTCCCATTTTCCAGTAGGGAGCATCTGGATGAAGATCATCAACCCTGGTTGTTCATCGACCCCCAACCCCTCACACCTCCTAGACCAAGAAAGAGCTGATGGTGTCCTGAGGCTCAGTGGTTAGAGCACTTGCTTTGCAAGTGAGAGACCTGGGGCAAGTTTCCTTATTCCAAACGCCTGATAATAATCTCTCAAGAAAAAAATAATAAAATATTGGTCACTTCAATCCACGACTGTTTGTGGGACACTGCTGTGCGCAATTGGCTGCCGCGTTTCGCTCACAAATATACAGTCAATTCACTTTACAATATATTCTGTGAAATGCTTTGAGACGTCTAGAAGACATTAGAAGTGCTATATCAAATGCAAGGATTATTAATATTATTATTATTATGGTAATTGTAATTTTCCCCATATTGCCACAGCTGACTGATCTGACTCAATACACATCAACAATCAACCACAATTTGCTGTAATTTTAATTGGTTTAAATTTTTCAAAAAACAATTATGTTTTGAATTTTTCTCACAATGAGTAGTTTCTGATAACATTGTATTAAACTGTTCATGCAAATCAGGATCTTTTTAATGTTAAATATTAAATTCTAATTTTAAAACTGGCTTGTAGGGTCCAAACAGCATTGCTTTTTCATTCTTCGATGATGGCTGTTCCTATCATTGTGAAGCAGAATTCACCAGTTTGTTAGATTGTTCACCCATTCAGAGGAAACATGAGCTGGGTTTAGACCATTGTGAGACAGGTTAGTTTTATCAACAACAACAACTTGCATTTATGTAGCGACCCTCGTCCCAGTGCGTTTATTCCTACTGATGATGTGTTGTGGCAGTTGTAATAATATGTGAAACAATAATTACATATTTGTTTTCTCAGACAGCATAACATACAGATTAGCACAAGGTTTTTCTTGGAGACCCCAGATTGTGCGTTGGGATACAGCTAAAACCACATAGCTTGCCATTGAAAGCACTGTGTGTGGACCAAGCTTTTCCGCTGCTTGTCCAGCTTGGACCACTCTATCCATTAGTGCTTTGGCTTACAAGGTTAACAAGAGCTGAGTGGGATGATTCCCTGCCTGCCCCCAGTGACTGCTTTGCCCTTCGAGTCCTACCGCTGAGCCAGCCTGGCTGTGCTGTCACCAGCGGTGCCCTAGAATACCACAGACCCACCCGGTTCAGGAACTGGACTACCGAGACCACCACAGAGTGCTGGCTCGATTCTGACGTTCCATTGCCAGGCATGTCACCTTGGAGCCAATTCAGTTCCAGGGAGACTCCGCTTACCTTCTTCCCCAGGAGGTTAGTTGCTGGTTGGTTTAAGGTGTTCAAACACCTCCAAAAACATCAACCAAATTTGACATTCAACACAATGCCTCGGTATATTGATTTTACTTAAAACAAAACACTCCTACCAAAAAGCTGCAAACCAATATATAGGTAGGTAGGCAGTGTTTATATTTAGCATGTTGTTTGCAGCAATCTATTGCCTGTCTTTGTTTCCGTCCTGGGTTCAGAGCTCCCAGGTCTTGCCCCTCGTGTGAAAGGCACTACAGTACATAAATGCAAGTTGTCGTTGGTTGCGTTCTGCACTGTTGCTCCAAACGTGCTGACATTTTCCGACTCCTTTGAGGAGTCCTGTAGGGTTGTGGTTAGAGCCCTCGCCTCGCAAGTGAGAGGACCTGGATTCGTTACCATGGAGGGTGAAATCTTAGGCAAGTTTCCTTACTCCACACGTCTCTGTCTACCCAGCAGTAAGGAGGAACCTGGTTGTTAATCGATTAGCGGATCGCTTTCTGGGGGGGTAATAAACCCTTTTTATAAAAAAAAGGGTCACTCAACCTACGACTGTTTGTGGGACGCTGCCGTGCGCAATTGGCTGCCGCGTTTCAGCCACAAAATGCAGTCGATTCGCTTTAGCGGTATCTTCTTCGAGTGAAGCGCTCTGAGACGTCCCGGAGGTGCGGTAAGGCGCCGCATCCAAACGCAAGCGCGGGGATTATTATTATTTTTTTTTAAAAAAAGACATGATTAAGACCTAGAAAAAAAAACCCAATCCAGCAGAGAAGCGACAGCAGCTACATCCCCACAGCGTGGAGTGTGAGTGAGTGTGTGAGTGAGTGAGTGTCAGGACTATCTCCAGCAGCTGCCGATCTCTCCCTCTCCTCCTCCCCAACCCCAACCCCCCCCCCCACCCACAGCCTCCCCTCCCCCACCCAACCCCCCCACCCACAGCATCTCCCCCACCCACAGCCTCCCCCCCACAGCCTCCCCCCACAGCCTCCCCCCCACCCACAGCCTCCCCCCCCACCCACAGCCTCCCCCCCACCCACAGCCTCCCCCCCCACCCACAGCCTCCCCCCCACCCACAGCCTCCCCCCCACCCACAGCCTCCCCCCCACCCACAGCCTCCCCCCCCACCCACAGCCTCCCCCCCCCACCCACAGCCTCCCCCCCACCCACAGCCTCCCCCCCCCTCCCCCACCCACCCCCCCCCCCACAGCCTCCCCCCCCCCACCCACAGCCTCCCCCCCACCCACAGCCTCTCCCCCCCACCCAACCCCCCCACCCACAGCCTCCCCCCCACAGCTTCCCCCCCACCCACAGCCTCCCCCCCACCCACAGCCTCTCCCCCCCACCCAACCCCCCCACCCAACCCCCCCCATCCACAGCCTCCCCCCCCAGCCTCCCCCCCTCTCCCCCCGCCCTCTCCCCCCCCCCCCCAGCCTCCCCCGCCCTCTCTCCTCCCCGCACTGCACTGGCTGCAACCAACAGCCGCCAATGAGAGCTCAGCTCCGCCTTATAACAGCTGAGGACGCCGCGGGGAGAGCCCGAGACACACACACACACACAGAGGCAGAGAGCAGGAAGGAAGCAGGAACTGTGCGCAGCTTTTCGGTGTGTTTATGTGTGTTTGGGAGCGAGAGGGAGAAGAGAAGATACCGGGAGAGGACGGGGGTGGATCGCTGCCGGGCCGGGCCGGGCCGGGAGACAGGGAGACAGGGGGGTGAGGGAGGGGGGATGGAGGGGGGATGGAGGGGGGGCGGTGGCAGATTGCAGAGCTGCTGATACGTAGATAGGATGTGAGTCAGCGGCATAGTTGAGTGACAGGACCGGCGGTACAGAGTCAGTCAGTCAGTGAGAGGCACAATACAAAGACGGTCTGATATTGTACACTCTTAAAGAGCAGGTGATAGACAGACAGATAGATAGACAGATAGATAGCCCAGTGAGTGATCCACAGAGAGACTGGACTACAGGAGTGAGTGATCCAGAGAGAGAGACTGCATTACAGTGATCCAGAGAGAGAGACTGCATTACAGTGATCCAGAGAGAGACTGCATTACAGGAGTGAGTGATCCAGAGAGAGAGACTGGACTACAGGAGTGAGTGATCCAGAGAGAGAGACTGCACTACAGGAGTGAGTGATCCAGAGAGAGAGACTGGACTACAGGAGTGAGTGATCCAGAGAGAGACTGCATTACAGTGATCCAGAGAGAGACTGCACTACAGGAGTGAGTGATCCAGAGAGAGAGACTGCACTACAGGAGTGAGTGATCCAGAGAGAGAGACTGGACTACAGGAGTGAGTGATCCAGAGAGAGAGACTGGACTACAGGAGTGAGTGATCCAGAGAGAGAGACTGGACTACAGGAGTGAGTGATCCAGAGAGAGAGACTGGACTACAGGAGTGAGTGATCCGGAGAGAGAGACTGGACTACAGGAGTGAGTGATCCGGAGAGAGAGACTGGACTATAGGAGTGAGTGATCCGGAGAGAGAGACTGCACTACAGGAGTAACCTGGGGAGAGGCTATTATAGGAGTGAGTAACCTGGGGAGAGGCTATTATAGGAGTGAGTAACCTGGGGAGAGGCTACTATAGGAGTGAGTAACCTGGGGAGAGGCAAGACTATAGGTGTGAGTGATCCAGAGAGAGAGAGAGAGAGACTGTGTTTCAGGAGTGAGTGATGCAGAGCCAGTGCGGGAGAAGTGATGGTCAGTGAGTGACACGGGGGGTGGTGGCATTTGTAAGTGTGGCGGCAGAGGGGAGGGATAGAGACACAGAGAGGCCGATCCACAGCGAGTGAGTCAGTGCCAGAGGCAGGGCCGAGCGTTTATATAGAGATCGGTGTGAGGGCACTGCTGGTGAGTGAGTGCGTGAGACAGACAGACAGACACAGACAGACAGACATTGCAGCAGTCAAGTCAGTCAGTGAGTCAGTGATCCGGTTCTCTCTCGTTACGAAGCTCACACAGTGCAGTCGGTGTGTGTGTGTGTGTAGTGTATGTGTTTAATTCTCTCTCTCTCTCTCTGTGATCGAAGCCGAATTCAAATTCCTGATACTTTCAAACTGTGGGGGAAGTGATTCTTTGCATTTTGTTTTCTTTGTGCATTTCTTTTTTCTAACCTTATACATTCCTCCCTCTCTCTCCCTCTCTCCCCCCTCCCTCTCTCCCTCTCTCTCTCCCCCTCCCTCCCTCCCTCCCTCCTTCTCTCCCCCTCCCTCTCTCCCTCTCTCCCCCCTCCCTCCCTCCCTCTCTCCCCCTCCCTCCCTCTCTCCCCCTCCCTCCCTCTCTCCCTCCCTCCCTCCCTCTCTCCCTCTCCCTCTCTCCCCCTCCCTCTCTCCCTCTCTCTCCCTCCCTCTCCCCCTCCCTCCCTCTCCCTCTCTGTGCTGTGTTGTGTCACTCAAGCCGCGTGTGCAAGTTGGAGAAGATGGAGCCCGTGTCTCCTGGTCCCAGTGCCGCCGCCGCCGCCGCCCTCTCCTCCTCCTCCACCTCCTCCTCCTCCCCCCATCAGCCCGGAGCGTGTGCCCCGGAGCCGGCGGCGGGAGGAGGGTCCCTGCGCCCCGTGGGCAGCCAGAGCCGCTTCCAGGTGGATCTGGTGAGTGAGGGCGGCGGAGGCGGAGGAGGAGGAGGAGGAGGAGTGGAGGGAGAGGGCGGCGGCGGCGGGAGCGATGCAGACGGAGAGCAGAAAACCGCATCGTTTGCGGGGCCGCTGCCCGGGGCCGAGGAGGAGGAGGAGGAGAAGGAGGAGAAGGAGAAGGAGGAGGAGGATGGAAGCGCTTCACCTGCAGCCCAACCCGACAGCGGCATCGCCTCCCCGGCCACCGCCCCTCCATCCTCCTCGGAGGAGGCGAAGGGCAGGTTCCGGGTGAATTTCGTGGACCCGGCGTCGGACGAGCAGCAGCAGCAGCAACAACAACAACAACAACAGGCATCGGGCTCTGCCCCGCACCACTGCCAGGCTGCCGGCGCCGGGCTGCCCAGCGAGGGCATGAACGGCTTCCCGCAGAACGGCGACACGCTGCTGAGCGAAGGCAGTCTGCACTCCTCCGGCACCGGAGCGCACCACTACTACGACACCCACACCAACACCTACTATCTCAGGACCTTCGGGCACAACACCATCGACGCCGTCCCCAGGATCGACCACTACCGGCACACGGCGGCTCAGCTCGGGGAGAAGCTGCTCAGACCCAGTCTGGCGGACCTGCACGACGAGCTGGACAAGGTAATGGGGGGGGGCTGGGGGGGGCTGGGGTTGGGGGGGGTTGGGGGGCTCAGGTTTTTTTTTATATGTTGAAGGTTTCAGCCACAACTCCACTCTTCCCCCCCCCCCCCTCATCCCACCCTCTTGCGCCCCCCCACCCATCCCACCCTCTTGCCCCCCACCCCATCCCACCCTCTTGCCCCCCACCCCATCCCACCCTCTTGCCGCCCACCCATCCCACCCTCTTGCGCCCCCCCACCCATCCCACCTTCTTCCCCTCCCACCCTCTTGCCCCCCCACCCCATCCCACCCTCTTGCCCCCCACCCCATCCCACCCTCTTGCCGCCCACCCATCCCACCCTCTTGCGCCCCCCCACCCATCCCACCTCTTCCCCTCCCACCCTCTTGCCCCCCCACCCCATCCCACCCTCTTGCCCCCCACCCCATCCCACCCTCTTGCCGCCCACCCCATCCCACCCTCTTGCACACCCCACCCCATCCCACCCTCTTGCCCCCTCCCCCCCTTTCCTACCCCTCTTTTTACATCAGGACTGAAGACCATCCTCTTGTTACAGTCCCCCCCCACTCCCGGCTCAATGTCAGGCTCTGCCCACTGGTAATCCCTCCCAGACTCTGCTCCGACCTGAAGGGCGCTATATAAATGCAAGTTGTTGTTGTTGAATACTCTGTGCGTTATTTTGGTGGGTGGGGGGGGTCAAAATTTATTTTGGCATCATTTGCAGGCTACGTTTTAATTTGTTTTTCAACAAAATTGTTCATCGCACCTAAGGCCGTTTAATAGCAATCCTAATATTCCTTGCATTTGATGCAGCGCCCTGTCAAGTTGTTGCGACGTCTCAAAGCGCTTCCCAGGATTTGCTGCAAAGTGGATTGGCTGTGTTTTGTAGGCGAAACACTTTTCGTGGAAAGTGATCCACTGAAAGCATAGTGACAACATTGCTTTACTCTTTTCCCCCCCCCACCCCCCCCCCCCGTCCACCCCCGTCCACTCCCCCCTCCCTCCACCCCTTTGTAAATAACAAAGCCTGAAGTTTTCAAACGTGTTGTAAAGTTGGTTTCATGCCACGCATGCTGCCCCTTAGACTATTGTGCCTGGTAGAGCCCTGGCACCGGTCTTGGCTGTCTTAAGTTTGGTTCTATTGTTAGGAGGTGCCTGATACTTATTGTGTACAATTTTCCTCCACATTTAACACTGGCACTATCATTGCAAACAAAGTATAAAATGCACACCAGGGAATGACATACAAACCTGTAATCCAATTGAAGGGTTCAGATGTTTTTAAAGCGTTCAAGTGAGTAGAGTGTAAACATTTCGACGAACCGATTAGATTTTGCAAACCGTGGTAGCTTGCTGCATGATATTACAGTTAGTTTTGCCCACAAAATACGTAGTCAATCCACTTTATAGTATATCCTGTGAATCACTTTGAGATGTCTCAACAATAAATTGTATTTGTATAGTACCTTTCATGTTGGGAGGACAGCCCAAAGCACATGTCTCGACAACATGATCAGGTGCTATATCAAATGCAGTATTAATATTATCTCCTGTGCAAGTTTATTGCTTTTACCTTCCCTCATCGCAGATGCTTCTTGTGCATCTGTCATAATCGATGAGTTCTGTGGAAAGAGAACACCGTCAGGAGCTACATTTTGGAAAAGCCTCAGTTCTCATTGTTTGAGAGCTTGCGACTAGTGAATTAGGTTCTGGTCCTTGGTCCAGAGATGGAAGCCCTGACAACATCATTTATTAGCTTCTTACTCAGGAAGTTGAATGCCAGTCATTTTTCTGAATCTAACTTCAATTTGTAATCTACGGTACTTCCATTTTTCTAAGCGTAAGAGGGAGGAAGGAAACTCAGAAAAAATTGATGGTAGTCTTATGATAATATGTGGATCGTGCTGTATTCCTAATTTTGAACTACTGCAAAAGGTTTGCCCACTATTTCCCCCCCCCCCCCCCCCACCACCTTGCGCTTCCCAGAAGGCTATCTGCCTAGCTAGAGAATAATGATAATAATTATCCTTGTGTGATATTATATGATATTTATTTTTTAAATATATAATAAACTAGTCCAATCAACTTGTCAAACAGGTTTGTGTCAGCTTACAATAACAAGATTCCAAGTACTTTGAGATGTCTCAACAACATGATAAGGTGCTAAATCAAATGCAAGTGCAGTGGTAGCATTCTGAGTCAGACGGTTGTGGGTTCAAGCCCCACGTCAGTACTTGGAATTTACATAGTCTAAGATGATAGTCCAATGCAGGGCTGGGAATGTGTTGCATTGATGGAAGTGCCTTCCCTTTGGATGAGATGTTAAAAGTAGTGTCCCATCTGTCTGTTCGGGTGTATGTTAGAAATCCATAGAACTATTTAAAACGAGAAGGGAGTTTCTCTCGGTGTCCTGACTAACAATCCCTCCCAAATAAAATTGGTCACTCATTCCAGTGACCAATTTTGTGCCTGTTTGTGGGACATTGCTGTATTCAACTGGCTGCTGCATTTCGCCCACAAAATACAGTCAAACCACTTTACAGTATATCCTGTGAAGTACTTTGAGATGTCTCAACAACATGATAAGGTGCTAAATCAAATGCAAGGATTATTATTACTATTATTATGATTGCTAGGTTGAACGAGTTCCTTCTATTCTTAAGGCTGTAAGCAACTCTCACTGCCATGATCTAATAAACCAGTACAACTGGTTTTCTGGACTGAATGGCCTCCTATTTCTAAGAGTGTGAGAAACTCACTGTTAAGTTCAGGTACAACAGAGATAAATGAAGAGGGTTTACTTGGCTGACTAGTGGTTTAAAAGGTCTCCAATTTACCCCTGCACTAAAGTTTTTCTTTTACCCCCTTTCCTCCAAAAAACATTCCAATAGAACTACCATAATACAACAAATAGATAGGAATGAGAACAGAACTGAACACGGGTGCTGAGTAATGATTGGTGGTGATGAGACCAGTTTTTAGTATTGTCACTGGTGCTGTTAACACAACTACCTAAAGAGTGCTAGTTTGGTGGTTCTGCTGTTCACCCTCTTACCCCACCCCCGGTTAGATTGACTTGTTCTTCGTCTTTCGTTCATTTTATTGGTAGTTTCACCCACAAAATATACAGTCAATTCCCTTTATAGTATACTATGTGAAGTGCTTTGAGACATTTCAATGACATGATAAGGTGCTAGCTATATCAAATACAGTATTATTGTTAGTAGTAGTAATATACTTCCCCTAATGTCACTGGAGGGTTTGAACCTTTAAACCTGGACTGAAAGCTATTAGTTTTTACCAGTAATGAACAGCTGGTAAAATGCTGCTGGACACTGTATGCAGGAAAAAAAGGATATTTGTATGTCTCTTTGATGTTGTTGGAGCTGTGAATGATAGAATATTTTACCTGTGTACTTGGCAAAATGAGAAATCTTGCCAGTTGGCAGACTGGTGGTCTGCTAGACTTCAGTTAGTTTATCAATGGACCAGGGAACATAATCCAACACATACTTGCTACTCTTTCTCATGCGTGAAATTCGTTTTGTACACTTTTAACACAACACCTAGATTAAGAACCTTTGTGCGTATAAAGCACATTTCTAGTTTCATTGCCTAGTGTTAGGCGGACAGCGATTCTGCAGGTTCTGATTCTGCAACCTTATTTCCGAACCCATCTATTGTAGCTGACATTTCAAAATGTATGTTGCTACATATCTTATAGCTATAATACTCCAGAACTCCATTGTATCCTTTTCTTCCCTCCCACCCCCCAGCACCACACTTTAAAAATGCACACATTGAAGTTCATAGTAAGATATTTGTTTACTCTTTCACACAGAATGTCCTGGTACTGGGAGGGTGTCTGATCCATCTAATTGTGAATAGTAGTCTGTGTTTAATCTTGGTACATGTTACGGATGGGTGTAATTGAACTCCAATGTCTTTTGAGCTCAAGCCATTGCATGTTTTATAGTTGTGTCTTAATTAGACTGATATGGAAGGATTCCACAGTTGATACCAATTGACCTTCAGGGCGCTGCAGTCCCAGCTGTAAAGCAGGGTTGTTTGCTAAACCGTTTCACTCCCAGATGGCAGTTCAACACATTTTGAAACTGAGGGGGAACAGTGACTATTGAAGAGATTATTGTGCAGTGATGTTGAATTTGTGATATTCTTTTGCTTTGTAAGAAAATACGACAAAATGTTTTAAACTTGTAAATTGTGGTTATCTTCAGTTTTCTGCAGGGGAAAAAAAGTATGGTGACAGAGTTTATTTTTATGTCCCAATATCCTCCGTTCCAGAAGGGGCCTCTGGAGAATATGGTTCCATGTAGTTTAAGCTGCCACTCCAATGTAGCACTGGGGATGTGTTTCATTGTCGGAGGTCCAGTCTGCCCGTTCAGGTGGACTTTGAAGATCCATAGCACTATCCAAAAGGAGAATGAAGTTTCTCCTGGTATCTCTGGCCAATAAATCACTTAAATATTTTTTAAAAAATGGTCACTCACTCCATTGCTGTTTGTGGGACATTTCTGTTTGGCTACGTTTGCCCACAAAATACATGGTCACTCTCCTTTACAGTATATCCTGTGAAACACTTTGAGATGTCTGGATAACTTGATAATGTGCTATATCAAATGCAAGTATTATTATTCTTACTGACAGCTGTTTTGTACCTTTCCCAAGTGGCTATTCTTCATGCCTGAACAGTAAATGCCAACAAGCTACTTCACTGTGGAGATCTTCACATGTGATGAGCCCAAATCTGTTTTAAGATGGGCCCAATAGCCTAGATTTCTATAACAATACATATGTGTGTGTATATATAATATATATGTGTGTATGTGTCTGCGTGTATAAAATTTCCATCAGGGACCAATGGATAATCATGCCCTATTTTTTTAAAACCACCCTCTGTAGCGCAGAGTAGCTAAAGGTCTTTTATATTCCCCCTCACCCCTCTTCTATATATTGCTGAGAACAGCTAATTCAAAAATCA